AGGCTACATCTATGTGTACCCTCGAGACATCACCAGACAAACTGCTTCCACTGAAAACAGAATAACCCTGTGGAAACTGGTGTTTGGAGATAGAAGAACAAGTACATGAAGCAGAAGAGTTGAGCAGTGATTTATCTGTATGGTAGCAATAGGGTCTTTCAGACCAAAGTTTAAGAAAGTCTTCTGCTGTGAAACAAATGCTCCTAAATCCCTTTCATATTAGTGTAGTACTGAAGAGTTACTGCTACAGCAATATGTAGACAACACAGAAGTTTCACATGTGTTGGGGTATTAAACTATCATTAAACAAATATATAACAATATTCACTTTTTTCTGTATTTTCTTCTGTCAGTACTTGATACAGCTCCTCATCAGAGAGACACATCAGCACAGCATCCCTTTAGACTGACTAAATATATGGAAGCAAACTAAATCCTTTCTGCTCCTCCCCACTTTGTTGGCACAGTAATTATCTATACAGAACCATAAACATACACCATCAAACAACGTTCATTGCTGGAATGAAAATAATGATCATTACTGGTTTTCTGTTTGTGTTTGTTTTGTTTTGTTTTTTTCCTGTTCACTCAACAGGCTTAAATAGCTCAGAGTTAGTTCAGGCAAAAGCAGGTGCAAAGCAAAAGTTGCAGAAAAATTACTCTTTAAAAGTGCAAAGAAGCAAATTTTCAAAGAGAAGAAGCAAGAGAAGAAGAGAAAGAATACACACTGGGCAGCAGGGAAGGAGCTGCTCATTTCTCACAAGGTAAAGCAAACCAGGATGGTAAAGGCCAAGGAGATTAAGAGAAGTGCAAAAAGCCAGAGAGGAAAAAGGAAACAGAGACTCGACCATGGGAAAATACCTTATTAGCTCCTCTCAGCACCTCCAGCCTGCTCTGATTTCAGTAATAACCTCCATTCTCAACGTGTGTTCGCATGGCTTCAGAACTGCTCGAGCTTTTCCTTTCCCAGCCAATAATGGTTTCTTGAAAGCCCAAAGACACCCCAAACACTAGTGATCTTCTCTTAAATCCCCTTGCTTTTCAGAGCATAAACATTATATGTTAAAATTCAATACCACGACATCAGTGACAAACACTGACCAAACATGCCCCAACATTTAAGCTACTCTGGACACAATTATGAACGCTGTGGACTTGCCAATTATCTCATAGCAAAGAGTAGAGAGAGAATTCAGCTTCCTCATGGCAACTTTTTTTCTCTCTTGCTTTAGTGCAAAGCACTATATTTGAAGTTACAGGGCTCCACTTTTTTTTTTTCCTTCTTCTTGCCCAAAGGTCAATGGTCAAAGAACAAGAATGAAAATGACCCAACTCTGTACAGCAGCTGGAACATGAAGATCTTTGAGCTGGTAGAGGGCATGTGTCGGATGCTGGGAAGAGAACAACAGTCACAGGATAAAGGGAAAATGTAAGGGCACAACTGGCACTACAGCCACCCTCGCCCACGAGGCAGTGGTTATCCAAATTTCCTAACCTTCCTATTGTTTTGCACAGAAGCAAACCAGATGTATTGCTCTCTATAACTGGCAAACTTGCCCCAGAAAATCACCGATTCAATAGCACGGCTGTTTTATTAAAACAAAAGGAAGATCTCTATTATCCAAGGAATTCCCTGTTTTGTGAGCTAATGTCTAAACTAAAATTATTTAAGGAGGTGAGGAATGAATGACCGAAGCGTAGCTTAAAAATGCTCCTGAAGAAAATACAGATAATATAAAAAAAATCTAAAATAAATAGAAGTAGTGATTAAAAAAAAAAAAAATCCTGTACCATTAGCTACTATTTAAAGAATAATAATATTATGGGAGTTCATAGAAGACATATAGGATTTAAAAGACTACCAGAACACAGCATGGTATAAAAGCCATTGTACTGCTTTGACTTTTATTGACCTACATGTCAATTTACTCCTCCCCAAGCATTACAACCCTAGGTGAAAAAATCAAAGCAAGCCTCCCAGAAATGGATAACTCCAAGAGCTACAGTGGAATGCAATTGTTATCCAGAAATCCAACAGCAACACAAAAGGTGATCCACTTAAGTTCCTTTCTTGAAAATATATTAACCTTATATTTCAAAGAAGTAGTAGCATTATTTTAGATTTAATTAAAATCTGGCAATGCCCCCCAAATATTAATTTTTATACTTTAGTTCTGAATAAAGCATTAATAAATTTATTTGAATAAAATCTGTTTTGTAAACTACCTTTCACAGTAGCGGAAGACCTACATGAATCTAGAGACCATGGATATGCTATTAAGAAATAAATTAATCTTTTCAGTAATAGTATAATAAATTGTTCCATAGTACTCGGTCATAGCTGTCTTTAGGAATATAGTAAGAAATATGTACCTTAGATGTTTGCTACACTGGAAAATCATTTAAGAGAGAATAACAGTGAATACCTTTCATCATGGTGCTTCCACATCGTTCACCAAACATTGAACAGATAGGTCCTTGAAACCAAGCTACTCGTGTGTGATTAACACTAATTATTAAATTTTTTTAAATACCCAGCAAATCTACCTTTCACTTAGCAAAGCAAAATGGCCTCTTCTCCCGTTTCATCGCACCTTCACTGCAACATACAGCAGTCCTACAAATTACTGTTGTCAAACAAGGTTCAAATTTAACAGGTTTTTAATGAGCTATGTCTACATAAACTCATTAAATCACTGTGATATCTTTGTTAAGACACTAACAAACATTTCATAAAGGACATTGGCCATTCGCCATGTTAGATGTCCAAAGCACGCATTTTAGCAAACATATCCAAAGATTAAACAATTTTATTAAAAATAGGTGCCATAACTCTACAAGAAACAGCGGTGTCGTCCGTTGAGCTCCCTGCAAAGACAAAAGTGAATTCTAATACAAAGACCAGAGGAAGGAACGAAGAATGATTTATTTTCCAAAATGGAAAAAAATAAACGTCCTTGAAAGCTGATAGATTCTTACTAGTATTTAAATAAACAACAGCTCTTCTAGTCAAAGGCAACCCCATTTTCTCCCCTGATTTACATGTCATTCTCATGGCGGCGACGTTTAAATGACTGTAGAGGGATATTCAAAGTACAAAGAAAAGCCCTGTAAAAAGGCCAAAGTTTTTGCTATTCAGCCTGTCCAGATTTTCCCAAGAGCTCAGATAATTTCCAGCTTTCTACACAGCACCTGTAGCAGCACTATATACCCCCCTGCAAAGAGGAAGCACAACCAAACTTTGGGCTCCCATCTTTGCTAGAAATGACCCACAACGGAATGAAATAAGAGAGATACTTACAAGACACCTCCCAGATCCTATGAATTTGCTTAAGACAATCCCTTTACCTCTGTATTCAGTGTTGCACAGAGCAATGCAATAATTGTAACGAACGCTGGCGCGTAGACAGAATAATTCTGTAGAATTCTAAACCTGGTCTTTAAGCTGAGTGCTACAGCTCTGCCTTTGTGTGCAACCACAACGTCAGGAAGGCAGGTGAGAGGATGACAACTTTGAAAAGGCACTTGCAAAGATGCATCTACCTTGGGCCAAAGGAAAAAAAAAAAGACAAAACCCAATCTCTTTAGCAATTTAAGTCTGTTCACTCTTACAATCAAGTGAAGAACAAAGGGCAAGATTTATTTTTTTCAGGAGCCACCTGGATATCGTATTCCTGAGCGTTCTGACAAAAATATCTCTCGTCTTCCTTGGAAAACCGTGATGGTGGAAATGGAGAAATAAGTCCTGGCTCTGTAATATATCCCCCAGCCTCCCCCAACAAGCCGTTTGTTTTCCAGTAGACTTAGTTAAGCCAAATTTCAATAGTTTGAGTTGTCCAAATGTAAAAAAAATACCCACCAAAACAAACTAATTAAAAAATTAAACGTTCAGTTTCACTTAACTCCCATTTTAGTTGCGAGTTAAAGACACAGCCTGCTAGTCTACAGGGAAGTAAAGTGAAAATGCCTCAGTGTCAGAGTCTTACATCTCATAGGGAAGGCGTGGTGCGCGGAAAACATAGGGCGTTAAAGACGCCTTACCAAAATGCCCAGTTTTGGTATAAAATAATCCATGCATGATAAGTAATTCTAATGCTAATTAGTAAAGATTCTTCCCCGACTACTCTTTAAAGTACAAAACCGCCTTAATTTTTAAAATATTGACGCTGCAGGCCTTTTTAATATAGGCTCTTAGGAAAATATACCGTGCCATCCTTGCAAAACATATTGGGGAAAAAAAAAGGCAGTAACATGTTTTTTGAACTGAAAACTCATAAAGATCATTTTCCATGCTGACAGTGTGCATTTCATCCAGAAGTTTGAAGAGTCAAATGCTACCCCAGCTGGGGGTTATTTTGCCAAATGGCTTCCAACAGTGACCACAGAGATGGAGGATGGGAGGGGTGTGTGCGTGTAGGAAAAAAACATGATGGTAAGCAACCAAACCACACCATCTTATCAAATATCCGAGATATGCAGCCAAACACACAATGCAAATCTAGAATACAGAACTGAAAACAAAAGGACACGAACAAAATGAAATCAAGCCATTTGTGAGTTACCTGCAGAGATTTAAAACAAAAAAAGGCATACGAATGAAGCAGATATAATTCGTATGGATTTGCCCAGGAAGGAGAAAAGGAGGGGTGAGTGTGAGGGCTGGGGGGAGAGAAGAACAGATACCTTTTTTTTCCTAAACAAATCCATCATGAAAGAAAATGAGACAAGATTATAAACAGGCCGAGTTATAGCGCACCATGGGATTTTTAATCTGGCTACCTGTGGTTTTTGCAGTTAAAGCCCTATTCAGCAGTGGGAAGGGAGGGGGGAAAGCGGGAAAAAAAAAAAAGAAGGAAAAAAAGAAAAACGAAATCACATTTATGTGCCAGTTTCGCAAATGCTCACGCAGCGTGCATCACCAACAATGCTGGCAAACAGGAAACACTCACTATCAGCATTTTCTAATAATCGTACGCCTTTCAAACGTTATTGATCATTACCTGGCCGTGTCGCTTCCTGCATTCTTGAGTCTTACTCTCGTGCTCTGCCATGGCAGCGCGAAGCTGCTTCTCCCGTTTCTCCATCTCCCGTCCATGGTCTCGGACCAGGCAGTCCTTCTCTGCGTTGTGCTGCTGGAATAGGTGCGTCTTCTCCTGTTCATGCTCCAGCTTCAGCTCCACTATCTGATTGGACAGTGAGGAGTACAGTTCATCAATAGAACATCCTTGTCGTCATGACAACTCGTCTACAGCTTAATTTTCCCCTTAATTTCATCAAGTTGGCAATTTTATTTTTACGTCACTATTACCTCACCTTTTAAAAAGCCACCGTTAGCGTGACAGAATTCCTCCAGACAATTCCAACAATGGAGACAACCCAGCAAATCCAGCGCATCCTGAACCAATTTGTTGGTACAAATGTCGGCGCGGACGGGGGGAGAAAAAAAAAAACAATTGCATTGTCGCATTCCGTGTCGGGTCTGGTCCCCTCGTACCCTGCTGCTGCTCATCAGCAGGGCTGTGGAGCCTAAATGGTTAATAGGCAGCCTGCTCTCCCCTTAAGTATACACACGCAACCCCCCAACCCAGCAATTCAATCTTTTAAACATTTCTTTATGATTTCCCAAGCGAAAGCTCTTCCTTCGATATTCCTCAGCGCTGCCGCGTATACAGTTCTCTATAAATTTTTAAATAAAAAAAAAAGAAAGAAAATTATAAAAAACAAAGCCCTATTATCCCGTTGTCAGCTACGCTATCCCAACATAAACAGATGTATGTGTTCCAGAAGGGCACCTGCTGTGCCGCAAGCTTGCGCCATGATTTCATAAGAAGCCCTCTATTCTCAGGATCCTTTCCCAGTCCGCACCACACTGGATGCTGTGACCTTGGCCACTCTTAGCCTCTCCCCGCTAGACTGAATGGCAGCCCGAGACCAAGGGCCTGGTTGCCGGAGCTTTGATACTAATCCTCCCCGCCTGCGCACAATGGCACCCTACCTGGCCTGCACACTGGAGCAGCCAGCCTGCCTTTGAAGCAGGTGATGAATAGGGACGGCAGGAAGCCGCTTCCCCACTGAACTCCGGGCCACACAGCTGCTAAGAACAGTCACTTGGATTTTTCTTCAGTTTTGGTGGATTTCGGAGAGGGGGGGGTGAAGGAGAAAAAGAAATAAATGCTCTTATCGTGAATATGGTGGGTTATTTTCAGCGTGAGAAAAAAAAAAAGCCAACGGGAGGAGCCGGCTGTGTGCGCGCCGAGAGCGCCCCGGCACCTTATCTTAAAGCTGTAGCATTCAATTCTGGAATAATATGACATGTTTGTGTGGCTTTCGGGTTGGAAATTTGAAGAGTAAGTAAAACAAAAAGCGTTTTCTCAAATTTTCACAACCTAGGGATCAGCCTGTTCCGTGTTTGAAAGTGAAATACATCATGTGTGCTGTGGCCGGGGGCATCCTTCTGAAACAGAGCAAGTAGAACAGATGCAATATTCTACGGTTTAACATATCTACATGATTTAATAATACTAAAGAGCTCATTAGCAGATGTCTGAAGTCCCTGAAGGAGTTAACCCCCCAGGAGGCACACATTATCTCTACTGGGCCTGGGATCCTTGCACGAAGTTCTTTAAGTCAGGTTTTTACCCAAACTTGGGCACAAAACTGGTCACTTTTCAGATGACAGAGGTGTCCTTAGTGTGCCTAAATAAAGGAATTCTTGTTCCCTCAAAGAACTGCAAAGGCTTTGCCTGAGTTACGGGAGAGAGTGTTTAGCAGCTTTTCATAAATCAGACTTGATGAAAAGGAAATCATGTCAAGATCAGAGGTCTTCTTATTGAAACATTTTCTCTTCTTAGTTACTGGGTTTTCAGTTGGTTGTGCCATGGAAGGTCTGAGGTAAGACAGTTGTGGGGAACTTCAACTCTTCAGGCTTTCACTTTTTTATCTGAAGGCAAGGAATGAGAGCAGGCAGGGAACTTATGTCAAAGTGGGCCAGGGACAGATCCTGCTGCTTCAACCAGTCCTTCCACTTCCAGGAGAGGCACTCCCCTCATCTGCCTCATGGTTAGAGAAAGGATGGTTGTGTGAGGGGAAGGGTTGTATAAAAGGCAAATTTGTTGAACAAAGAAACCCCCAAACCCTCACCACTTAAATTATTCCCCATGGTGTTTTTGTTTGGCTTTTCAGAGATTTCTGGAAGGGAGAAGAGGTGGAGAAACAGGAGAGTAGAGAGAGTATGAGGAGACAAGAGCATTTTCTTCGCTCAAGCTCAAAGACCTAGAAAACCCATCTTCCCTGATGAATATCAACAAGTACTCCTCATTTGAGTATCAAGACGTTTTGCTATAATACTCTTACCAAAATGCACTTTCCTCTACAAGTAACATGGAGTGACTGAGTAGCTGTTTGAGTGCACTGGTGAACGCTCACTGAACCTCCTGTTCTCCTCAGAACTGCTGCCAACACTACGGCTTCTCTTCCACTCCACCCTCTCTCATTCTTGTATTGTTGTTCTGTTGTTTTTGTTTTTTTTAAAGAAAAAAAATTGCATAACAACAAAAGGAAAAAACCAACCATGCTGTTTTTCATCTACAATAGGATTTCATCACAGGAAACAGCATGAAAACAATATTAATTCTTCATAAATCAGTATGAATTCTGTCTCCTTTGAGGTAGAGAGAGTCTTTATGAATGATCTAAAAAAACTACCTCCTTTAAATATTGTATTGTGTCGAGATCATTCTACATCTACCTCTAGATGCTTAGCACTTCATCAGGTCACATGAAAACGTCCACTCAAATCCAGTACCTACACGTCCAGAAGATAGACACTTTTAGGTGCTCTACATACAGACCAACAAGCAACCTGATATTCACAATGGGAATTAGGGGCGACGCCGAGAAGAAACATTCACTAAATAATTGTGTGGGCCCCATTACCATAATCAGGTCGTATTCATTGTGGCTCAGATGTTTCCTCATTCTGCCCTCCCAAAGATGAAAAATCTCTTACACTCTTCTCTGTGCATCTGTTCCTGTCTCCCACCACGGCCGGGCACTAAAACAAGCAGGGCTGTCTGACCCTGTCTAGCTGTTCTTACCATGAAATACTGTTACTACCAAGTAACACCAGTATTTTAAAATTATGGTCTCCTCTCACATGAATTCTTCATTTTTTCAGTTCTTTCTGCACCAGTATGATAAAACCATACTCAGGGCAACAGCCAACAGCTGATTTACAAAGCCATGACCAGAATTGCAACATTTATTTCTAAACTTTTGCTTTTAACTGAAATTTAACAATATTTCCTTATTCTTGCAGAGAAAAGAATTTTTAAAAGACAACAAAATTCTTAACAAAAAGCTAAAAAAAGATGAATCCAAGAACTGAGACAGTCTTTAGCTATTCACTTGCATGAAAACACACAAACTGCCAAAGAGATCTGGCAACGTGGCTCATGCCCACCCGACACAGGACACCGAGATCCAAGCTGATGAGAAACCAAACTGCACCCACATGTTGAGGTGCTTTAGAACAACCTGCTAAAACGAGAGACAATCTAATAAAGACCTGAAGTGACTTCATGCTGCTATAAGCCCTGGGTCAGTTTGCACATCTGAAGAACAAAGACCTAGAGTAAATAGGCTGCTGATAGCAGAAGATATTTTCAGAAGCCAAATACTTGTAATACGATCAACATCAGCAAATACCTTTTTAAAGTCCCTAATATAGACAAGACCTTCTACCATCCAGTTTTTGCTTTTACGTCACACACTAAGTTTAGGCTTTGCAATTTTAGAACAATTTCAACTTGTTCTCAAGAACAAGTATGCCTTTGAAATTCTTTTTATAGTCCCCAAAGGAGGGAAAGGAAATTAGTTAGCTCACTACTCCTTTGAAAAATGTAACTGCTACAATAAATATTTGACACCAAAGTATGAAAATTCATGTAAATTTATGTCCACAGTTCCAGAAATATTGTAAGTAACACCTAAATAAAATATAGTTTTGCACAGCAAGATGATTTTGTTAGCACTGTTTTGGCATGATGAACTTCTGAGGGCTGGAGAAGCCATCAATAAGTTACACGTGTCATGGCAAAGAGCGGCACAAAACCCACCCGCACAGCATGCATATAGCATGTCTATTTTTTAGCAGTTCTATGTATAAGTACTTAAGAGTGTAAATCAGGAGTCTTCATTTTCACTACTCTGCTGAAAAGCAGCCCCAACCTCTGCCCAGCACAGCATCCAACACATGAGCTGTGCCCAAGTTACAACTCGGGTAAAACGGAGCATTTTCTGTCTCCTAAGCCTATAAATAAACGTGCGTGTTCCGTGAGGATATGGGGATTACCCATCTCCACAAATACTCTGCTTCTAAAAGTAATCTGATAGAACAGGCTGCAGGACTGAGTATTAATCATGCTGGGCTCTGGCTTAGCATAACTTTGGGCAGAAAAGAGGAATCTTCACTGCAAAGCAAGGGAGCATACCAGAACTACTTTGCAGCAGATAAATTAAATGGATTTTAAAAGTACACTTTTTTTTTTTTGACGTTTTGCTATAATTTGGAACACAAAGTCCTCCCAAGATATAAAGGCTGTAATGAGCCAAGGGCAACGAGGACAGTGAAAAATACATCAGTGCAGAACCATATATTACACTGGAGTAGAAAATACATATAGGGTAATGTACATGCATAGAAAATGCATTTTACTTCCCATTTCATTTCAGACTGCAATACTTTAATTGGTATGACTGTGTTTCCTGCTATACTTCACCTTATAATCAACCACTAATAACTGCATTTCAACTACAAACTAAGAATTGCAATAAATTCTCTAAAAGAGACAAGCTGGGCTATTAGCCAAACTGCAGTTTGATTTATCCTCCCCAACAACAACAAACCTGAGTGGTCTCACTATGTATATAAAATTATACATCTGATCTGTACATATTTTACTTAAAAAGGCCTTCCAGAATTTTGATATTTTTCAAGTATGGGCAGCACAAACCTCACCTCAGTCCTCCTACCTTCCCAATCTTCCTGTCATGAGTAAATTTGGTTTTAAAACCCCGACGTCCTGGGGATGAAGCTGGATTGCTGTGGTTACACCACACTTAGTGCTGTGATGCAGGTCAGGAGGAACCGCTGCCCTCCCCAGCCCACCAGCTCCAGCAGAGC